AGGTGGTGTGGGGCTGCAGGACCCCTCCCCACCATGTCCCCAGTGCCCACCCACTGCCGTGAGTGTTCCCAGTCCCTTTCCCCACTCGTGCAGGAGGAAAAGCTCAGCTAAACCCCCCTACAGCCTGTCAGCCCGCAGGCCCTCGCTGTGCTGCAGGAGGCTGAGCGGTGCCCAGGGGGTGTAAGGGGGAGCCCTCCCCACAGGCAGTGCCGGCTGCCTGCGGTCCCCACCCGGCCGCAGCTGGCCAGCCCCAGTCTCACCAGGCAGGCTGGCAGGGCCCCAGGGCCATGGCGCCTCCGGGCTTCTTTTCCCAGTGCCGCGGGGCATGGCCCCAATGGAAACGGCGGGCAGGACAAAGCTCTTCGGGCAGGACAAAGCTCTTCATCACCCTCGCATGGCTGATGTGTGGTACCCAGCGCCATGGTACCCAGGCTGTCATCTGCTGACGCCACAAAGGGCTGATGTCACCCGTGTGTATGGCGCACAGCAGGATGCGATGCTCCTGGGCAGTAGGCTCAGCTCCCAGGGTCTCTGGGGAGCTTGACCAGTGCAGGTCAACAGCCAGCCTGGGCTGGAGAAGGAGCCTTGTTGGGGTGGGCAGTGGAGAGCCCAGGCTGTGGGTGCCCTCAGAGAACCCCCACTGCTCGTGGGTGCCTGGCTGATAAAGGCCCCACATAAGTCCCATCTCCGTGGGTCGCATGGCAGGTCTGGGCAGGGGGTCGGCAGTGCACCTTGCCCGGCAGCGTGGAAGGCACAGGCCCACTGTCCCCTTGCCATTCCCTCGGTAAATCCTCTCTCTCTCTCTTTCTTTCCACAATCTGCTTCCCAAGTTGCTCGATGCCAGGTAAGAGATGCTCTTGGTGTGTTGGCAGTGCCGGCGTGGAGCCCTGGTGTCATGGTTTAACCCCAGCCAGCAACTAGGACCATGCAGCCGCTCGCTCCCTCCCCCGATTTGGGTTGAGGGAGAGAATCAGAAGAGTAAAAGTGAGAAAAAACCCACGGGTTGAGATAAAGACAGTTTAATGGGTAGAAGAAAAGCTGCTCACACAAGGAAAGCAAAATAAGGAATTCATTCACTACTTCCCATTCAGCCATCTCTGGGAAAGCAGGGCTCCATCATACATAGTGGTTACTTGGGAAGACAAATGCCATAACTCTGAACATCCCCCCTTCCTTCTTCTTCCCTCAGCTTTATATACTGAGCATGATGTCATATGGTATGGAATATTCCTTTTTGTGTCTCCTCCCAGCTTTTTGTGCACTCCCAGCCTGCTTGCTGGCGGGGCAGTCTGAGGAGCAGAAAAGGTCTTGAGAGCTTAGCAACAACCAAAAACATCAGTGCACTATCAACATCGCTCTCATTCTGAATCCAAAACATAGCCCTGCACCAGCTGCTAGAAGAAAGTTAACTCCCTCCCAGTTGAAACCATGACACCTGGGCTCACTGCTACCCTTTTTCACCCCATGCTGTCCCCATCCTGCACAGCCCTGGCATGGCCCAGCTACCCACAGCCTCTGCAGGGCTGCATGAACAGCCTCCCTGTTCCCCAAACTGTGTCCCTCATGCTGCTGGGTTGGGAGCTGGTGGGAAGCTCTGGGATATGCCGTCCCTGCTGGGGTCCCCCTTCCAGCCTGGCTTACACCCCCTCTCTGTTCCCTTCCCTCCTCCAGTGGACCAGAGCATGTTTGAGAACGCCAGCGCCAGCACGGCACCCACCCCGCGGCCACAGCACGCTCCCGCCATGCCGGGTGCCCCACCGCCGCCCTCCCGCCCCC